AAAAGAATCCGAAAATTCCCGAAAAAAACCGTTGAAAATGAAAAATATTCAACAAAGGCGCCGCCGAGAGACGAGGATTTGAATTCCCGCGCAGTGAGAAAACTAGTCCACGCCGCCTGATAGCATTATTTTCAAGTTGCCGACAGTGTTTTTAAACCGCAATTTGTAGCGATAATGGGAATTCGTAGCGTGTTTATTACCGGGAACAGTGGTAATAATTGTCAGTTTCTTGCTCTATTCAAGGCTGTAAAAATTAATTTTTTAATCTCCATAAAAAAATAAACCATCTGAAGTCATTTAAATTTGAGGGGAAAATCAAAATTGTGGAAATAGTGCAACAGCAACTTTTGTTTTAGAAATCATGTTTTTCAGATTTTCCTGTTTCAGATTCCTCACATTTTTTGATACATTTACTAAAACACCATTACATTTTTTGACTATATGAAACAAATTCCTGTTTCTAAACTTTCTTAATTTTATCCAAACTTTCTTAATTTTATCCAAACTTTCTTAATTTTATCCAAACTTTCTTAATTTTATCCAAACTTTCTTAATTTTATCCCTTTATCTGAAACGGCAGATAATGTTTAAAGGGGGACTCCGGTCAATTTTTTTATTGCATCAAAATGTGTTAAAATTCATCTATTTTCAGAATATTATTGCTTTTCAGAATATTATTGCACTATTTCCACAATTTTGATTTTCCCCTCAAATTTAAATGACTTCAGATGGTTTATTTTTTTATGGAGATTAAAAAATTAATTTTTACAGCCTTGAATAGAGCAAGAAACTGACAATTATTACCACTGTTCCCGGTAATAAATACGCTACGAATTCCCATTATCGCTACAAATTGCGGTTTAAAAACACTGTCGGCAACTTGAAAATAATGCTATCAGGCGGCGTGGACTAGTTTTCTCACTGCGCGGGAATTCAAATCCTCGTCTCTCGGCGGCGCCTTTGTTGATATTTTTCATTTTCAACGGCGTTTTTCGGGAATTTCGGATTTCTTTTGAATTTTTTCACAATAATATTAGGAAAATAGATAACTTTTAACACATTTTAATACAATAAAAATTTTTGCTCGGAGTCCCCCTTTAATCACTAAAATGGCAAGCATAAGAGAAAACATTATTTTTCTGAGCCCTTTTTCACAGCTTTTACTTGGTTGCTTGATTCAGTTCTATAGAAATCTTATTCTAAGATAATATTTCAGTTCCAAAATATATCCAGATGACCACAATATCCTAATTGATGGAACACTGATCAGACTGACAAAAGAAGTGTCTGGGAAAATACGTCTGAACAAAGATATGCAAAATTGGATAAAAAATCTGGAAGGAAGTGATAAAATACCCAATCAGAGGAGGTATTCATAACGGATTTCCAGGAAACTGTTTTTTCTTCTTGTAAAATAAATCAATGTTGAGGAGGATTCAGATGAGTATAAAAGAAATCTCGAACAGCAAGATTTAAGAAATAATTCCGTTTCAGAACCTTGACTTTTTTCGGAATTGTTATTAGACGAAGTTTGAATTCATATCCAATGTCGAAACAAATTGTGTTCTTTTGATTCCATATTCTAGCTTTTAAAAGCCTCCAGAAACAAAAAAGCAAATCTGCAAAATATTCCATTATCTTTAGTCTATACATAAAAGATGACACAGATAAAATCCCTAACGAGATGAACCTAGAGAATGGGGAAGAAAATGGTAAACATGTAAGGTTGGCAAGATATTTTTTTTAAAAAAGGGGAAAAGGTAAGCAGAAAACTAAAACCGGGTGATGGAAGATTGGATTAAAGTATAAAATTGACCGGGAGTTAAAAATTGGGGAGTATTCCTTACAATTGCATTTCAAATAGGGGCGGTGGTGAAGAAGAAGTCATCGGTACATTTATCTGAGAGAATAAAGGTCATAGGTCTCCTAAAACAGTCGGAAATTCTTAAGAAATAGGATAATTCTGGCATATAAGAGGCGTCACTAATCATTTTGTAAAGAAGCATAAGTTTAGATTTAAGTCTACGATGTCTGATAGAGAAGAGGTCAAGTTGGGCGAGACGATCTTGATAAAAAGAGTATGAGATATTGCATTTCTGGAAGACTTTACGGGCGAAGAAACGGAGTGGGGATTCGAGTTTTTCTTTAAAAAAATTTTTTTTTTAATGTTTCAGTTTCTTCTTTTTCTTCGCTTATTTCATTTGATTTATTTTTTATCACTATTATAATTTATGCATATTTTTTAAAGAGGATGATGAAAAATCGTTGGTAAGTTAGACCGAGATTTCTTTTAGAAAATCGATTTTGAGAATTTTGAAATTTTGAAAATGTCAAAACATTTTCCGTTTCGAATTCTCCGTAATAGGAGAAGCGTGTTTTTTTTTTGCTGTTTAAAACGTAATTACGGCTTTTTCAAATTGAAATTGTTAAAGTCTGACTCCGCCCCTTTTTTCTTGAATATTTACAAATGAGCTCACTCATCACTTACGTAGACATCTCAGAAATCAAAATTTACTTTTTTTTTCGATTTTTGAGTTTTTTCCTGTTTCTAGCTTACTTCAACTGGGCTAAACAAATTTCATACTTTGATAGGTCCAGCTTAGATTCTGTTTTTTTAAATGTTTCCCGTTTTCCATATTATGCTCCAACTATTGAAGTGTTTTGCTATGGCAAAGGCGTTTTTGCAAAGCTGAAATTTTTCAGATGGAACGTTTGATTCGATATGGAAGTGTGAACGAGATTCCATTCTACAATTGCTCATGGAAGTCATCTGAAGAATGGAATGAAATGGGTTTGAAACGACCGATTATTGGATGGTTTTTGGTGGTTTTTGGTGGAACTGTGGAGGTAAAGGTTTAGGTGTTTATGACCATGTAGCTCACTTTAGTCAGCCGAACGGTCATGTTGAAATTAGGGCTTCGAGGAGTCATTTTAAAAATCGATTAGGATATGTATGGAAATTTATAAGAATTGGTGATTTTTCCGTTTCAAAATCTGCGTTTTTCAGTGTAATGTTAGACAAATGATGTGAAATGATGTGAAACAACTGCTCATTGAGATGTTCTTATATTGACATATGTTCTCATAGTTTCGCAATTTTTTAATATGGGCTGTCTCTTAAAGTATCTTTGATGAAAATTTATACAAAATTTTCAAAAGTTATGAAGAGGGGTTTTTTATGAAGGAAGTAATTGTCAAATCCCTGGTTGTAGTGGATATTGAACAGTGAAAAAGTGAACTAAACAAAATGAAACAGATAACGAAATTAGTCGCTGCCACTGATTTAGTGGAACCTCGAAAATCCAAAAAAAATTGAATTCCTTGGACAAATCAAAAACCTTCTCTACTCAAATGTTTTGGGTTGAATTGATGATAACAGCCTAATTTTCAAAAGTTTCTGTTTCGTTATCTTCATTAACATTTCCAAGCAAACTATAGGTTTAGTCATCCGCAGTAATGACACGATTTGGAGCCACAAATGTTCAAAGTTCCAGAAATATGAAAAACATTTTCAGATCCTCTACCTCCCAATTCTTTACATCATCTTCAAAACCAAGTTGATAAAATATGCCTGTTATAAACTCATCGTGTTTTTGGCACTCACGGATATGAGTGCTACAGGTGGGTTTTTTTAAAGCTCAATTATCTCAATTGCCGTAAGAGATATCAGAAATCTGTCAACGGACAAAATGTAGATAATACAATAATAAACATTTCACCAGGTGACAAATTTTTGATATCTCTTATAGGAATTGAGATATATGAGACCTAAGCAACTTTATCTCCATTTTCCAGTATGCAGTTCAATTATCAGTGGAGTCCTCTACATCCAAGGAGCCGTTTTCTGCACGTATCCCACATTTGAGTACATCGCTGGAGGATTTGCAATTAGTACTTCTATTCAACTATTATGAAGATCAAAAACTTTATATTTCCAGATACATGGTGTATGGCATGTGCAATAAACATTGCATTATTCGCCAATCGTGTATGTATTAGGTTGGCGGGAAAGTCTTTGTCACTCTGTTTGTTTAATCACTGTTCTCGTATATGGAGGCTGTGTATGATATCGACTCTAGTGAATAACAAGGTGATAAGAACCTTCCATATAAATAAGTCCCCATTTCCTTCCCTGCTCCTCATCTGTAATTGAAACGATATGTTTGTTCCCACTGCTATTCACATCAGACATGTTTTGATTTACCTCTTCCTATCTCACACCACGATGAAGGATTCGGAAACTTTCTTGAAGAATGTGTACACACACATGCCCCTCACTACAATACTATTCGCAATTGGTTCCATCGTTTCGAAAAAGATGACTTCTCGCTCGATGAAAAGGATCGCTCTGGGAGACCCCGTGAGTTGGATTTGGACAAGCTGAAGCACGCATTGCAATCGGATCCATTTCAATCTAGCCGTGAACTAGCTGTCACATTCGGAGTTCACCATAGCACAGTCCTTGAAGGTTTGAAGTCTCTTGGAATGAGAAAACTTTTTGGTCGATTCATACCTCATCACCTGACTCAAGCCAACCTTGACCGCCGAGTCGACGATTCGATTACTCTTCTCACTCTCCACGCGGGCGATCGATGGCTGGACCGGCTAATAACCGGAGATGAGAAGTGGGTCTTCTACGATAATCACCACAGGAAATCCCAGTGGGTTGGAGAAGGAGAGAGCCCACAGGATGTCCCCAAACCCGGCCTTCATCCGAAAAAAGTTATGCTCTCTGTGTGGTGGGGAGTGGACGGCCCCATCTACTGGGAACTTCTGCCCGAGGGCAAAACAATAACTGGAGACCTCTACACTACTCAACTACGAAACCTCAAGAAAGCAGTCGACCGTTCGGCCCTGAAAGACAAGAAAGTGTACTATCAACATGATAACGCTCGCCCACATGTTTCGAAACAAGTGAAGCAGGAGCTGATGGGATATGGATGGAATGTTCTCCCTCACCCCCCGTATTCTCCTGATCTTGCTCCTTCCGACTATTGGTTATTTGGCGATATGACACGTGCCTTCGAAGGAAGAAGCTTCAATTCCCGTGGAGCGGTCGAAGCGGCACTCAAACAATACTTTGCCTCACGCCCGGCTGGATTCTACCGCAATGGAATCCATAAATTGAGGGAACGTTGGAGACATGTTGTTGATAATGATGGACAATATAATTAATTATTCGGTTATTTTTTCTTTGAGAAATAAACTATTGAAAAAGTGACAAAGACTTTCCCGCCAACCTAATAGCATTGCGTTTCATGAATACATCGACGTCATCGAGGGTGAAATGACATGGATTAGTATGGTGGTTGCATTTGTGTACGGGATGTACATTTTGTTTTTCACACCGGTCATTTGTTTTAATTCGGTGGCGTTGGCATGGATACCGGAACCGTTGAGTGAGAAGGAGCCTAATGAGGAGGCGGAGGCAATGGTGAGTGTCAGGGTGTATCTTCTACAGTATCCCTCAGCCTATGCTTTGGACCGCGTAGCTCAGCTACGTAACACTCTAAGTATTTTCAACAGGGATACCTTACCATATAGCGACATCGCTCAAAAGCTGTCATTGTGTAGCTCTGCGCGCTCCAAATTTATGATAATTCCAATAAGAAATTAGTAACAAAAATACAATGGACTTGGAACAGGAAAAAGTTGTAAATTTTTATGCACAGCAGCGAACACAACATTACTAATTTGACCTATTTTCAGTTGGAAATGGCAACTTTTGGATTCCTAAAAGTATGATAGGTTTTGTTGGATGAGACTGTGAATTTCAAAATTTACAGTTTCAGATTTTTCAGGAATTTGAAAGTTGGCTTAAAATTGAATTGGTTAGAAACAGGACAACATTTTTACAATTTCATCCAAGTGGGGTACCGCTTCTGGAAGATTTTGGGTTCAATTTCAAATCTATATTTGTAAAACATGAGCCTGATTTATATAAGGAATTTGATCAAACGTATTTCCGAAAATTCAAAGGTTCTAAAAACATTTATGTTTCCACAACTTGATAAAAATATGATCCTCAAAAATTTTACATTTTCGAAAGTTTCATATAATGTCAATCAAAAGTGATGGAGCTATTGAAAGTACTTTGAGGCTTCTATAATTATTTTTCTTTTCTCAAATTCCATAAATTATATTGAATATTACCAAATGGATTGTTTCCATTTGTCGCACATTTGTCTTGATATTTTAAGTTTTCGAAAATTTGATCTAATTTATTAATTTTAAGCATTCCTTCATTCTTTTCTGGGTTTTATTTCAAAAGTCCTCAATAACTTGGATTATTTTCTCTTTCACAGATTCAATATAATATCTTGGCTTTTACTGCTTCTTATTCATCAAGTGGTAATATTCTAAACAAAACCTACATTCTAGACCCCATAGTTCAGCTCGTTTTCCTTTTCAATCAACTAGCTCGTTTTCAGTACGACAATGAATGGCAATCAGCAAACAACTATCTCTTCGTAGTGATTATGTCATTTCTCTACATTACGTATTGTGTACTGGTCAAGAAGCTGGCACATGGGCAAAAGTCGAAGAAGTCGAGAGCGGTAAGATTTAAGAAAATGTTATTTGATACAGCGTTACTTCAAGCGTCGCTAGCTAGGCAAAAACTAATGTAATGTGCAGTAATAATTCGATTTCATTATCATTAACAGTTCTGATAGTATTGAAACAGAAAAATAACCGTAGGATGTTATCCGATACTCTTGTTTTGAGCTCAATTATCTCGGTTCATATAAAAGATATGAAAGATCTGCGAACTGATAAAACGATATCATCTATATTTTATCAGTTGAAAAAATTTTTATAACTGTACAAGATAATTGAGCTCTACGAATTGTGATCTGTGAGTCTTAAAGTTGAAGAGAACTAAAATTTTAAACAAAAAGTTTTTAAAAATAAATTCCTGTTTCTGAAAGTCGTTGAAACTTTGAATAAGATTAATTCGATAATTTTTGATACGCCTTAGCATTTGCATTACCCAAACAAGCAAGTTCGAGTGGAAAGCTTCAGCATAGCTTAGCTAGCTTAGCTTAACATTACTTTAATTTAGCTCAATTTAGCATTTACTACTCCCAATCTTCCAGATTTTTATCCAATGCGCCGTTATTTGTTTCTTCAACACTGTTACTGCTCTCGTCTACAACGCATTATCTTTAATGACTCCTGCTATATGGATTGTGCTTTTGGGACAATTGTGTTGGTCCATTAATCATGGATGTCCAGCTATCATCTATCTGACAATGAATGACACAATTCGTCACAGCTTTTTGAACTTGTTCGGTGGAAAGAGGGTCACGGTAGGTTGTCTTATTTCGGTTCCTATAAGAGATATTGAACTTTTGAAAACTGATAAAATGTTGGTGATATCAGGGCTGTCGAAAATAACGGCCGGCCGAGGCCGCGGCCCAAAAGCCGAGGGGCCGGAAGTCCGCGGCTTTTATTTTTGAAAGCGACAACGCGGCCGAAGAGCCGGCCGGCCGTGCGGGGCCGAGGGAAACTTCATACGAAATGAAAATGCTCACCAGAACATGGAAAATCGGTTAAAAAATAATGATTTTTCAAATGGGAGTAACTAACATGAAAAATAATTATTTTTGTGACTCAAGGGAACACTAGAGAGACAATTGAATAGAAGTCATAATTTGTAAATTTCGAATTTTTCTACATTTTTCCATTCTTTTTCATCATTCATATTTTCGAAACTACTTGTCAAAAAAATCTGCTCAAAATCAGAAAGAAAAGTTTATGTTTTTGTTGAAAACCCATAGTTGCGTCTTAATTTTTTTGAACGACGGCCGGCCGAGGCCGCGGCCGCGGGGCCGGGGCCGTATTAAAGAAGTTTATCAGCGCGGCCGGCCGTTCGACAGCCCTGGGTGATATTATTAAAAAAAACATTTTAGTTGAGAAAATTGAGAAAATTTTATATCTCTTAAAGGAAATGAGATAATTAAGCCTAATTAAGACAATTTTTACAGAAAGTGGATACAACTAATAGTGCACAGCATGTAGCAGTTTCGCATGTGATTTGAAAATGTTGAACTTGGAAAAAACACTGTTTCATCTTTTTCATATATAAATCTTTTATCTATTGTACATGTTCGTCCTCCGTGAAGAAAAATCTGTTTTTATTTACGTATTTCTTTCAAAATTACAAAAACCTAATGAGTGGACATTTGTGTAACCGATGCTGCATGAGTGTTACTAACACTCATGCCAATTCTCTTATCTCCTCCTAAAACCATTTTTTTAAATTCCCGCTTCACGGTGGCATTCATGGTGACGTAGATCAAAACTGGACATCCGTGATTGACGGACCAACAAAATTGACAGAGAAGAAGCATCCAGTAGTCAGGTGTAATCAGGGTTAGAGCGTTGTAGACCAGAGCGATTACAGTATTGAAGAAACAGATGATGCAGCATTGAATGAAGATCTGGAAAATTTTAATTTTCCAATGATCAAATTGACTTTTGTTCAGATTGTGGAAAGTAAATTGTTTCTGTGAAACTGCAAAAAGTTTTGAAGCCAACCGTAATTTGAGCCATATATCTCGGTTCCTGGGAAAGATATCTAAAAGTGGTCAACTTATAAAATGTTTATCATGTTTTGATAAACATTTTATCAGTTGACAACTTTTAAATATCTTTCACAGGAACCGAGATAAATTGGCTGAAATTAGGGAAGTATCTTAAAAACTATAATACTACTCTTTAATTAGCTTTAACTAACTTTAACTAGCTTTTACTACCTTCAAGCTAGCTTTAACTAGCTTTAGCTAGCTTTAACTAACTTAGAAAACATCAGTTTCACTCACCGACTTGGCGGCTTTTGATTTCTGCCCCATCGAAATCTTATTGATCATTCCCAGATACAAACTGAACAGCACAAACATACAAATGACGAAAATCCAATTGTTCCATGCCTGCACACTGTTCCGATAGTAATCAGCAGCCGCATCTGATGGTTTCGTTTCTGATAACGGATCCGGAAGCCAAATGAGCCATTCCGAGTTGAAACAGACCACTGGAGTGAAGAAAAGAACGTAGAATCCATAAAAGACGCAGAGACAGATGCAAATGTAGGCGAGACGTTTTTCAATGAAATTTGATAATCCGTGAAAAGCCACAGAGATGACTCGATTGAGGAACAATGAGGTGGTTACAGAGCAAGACATGCACCAGGTGGCGATCGCGAAACCGCCTGGAAGGTTTCATTTAAAGGTACATGGGTCAGTGTACGTCAAGTCTTATGTGCTTGACGGAAACGTTTAGTTTTTCAAAAAATATGTAATGTTAACTACCGTAACCCTAACTTTTTACTTTGAACCAATTTTTCTCGTTTATTGTAAAAGATATTAGAAAATGGTCACCTAACAAAAATTGTTGATTTTATCACGAATACTTTATCAGCTGACTATATTATAATATCAATTAAAGTGACCGAGACAACGGACGAATATGTATCAATTTCCATGAATTATTGATTAAAGAAATCATTGTTTTGAAACATTATCAAAATTTTTGTGATTCAATTTTGAAAGCATTGAATTGGTTATGGTCCGACTCCGCAAAGTCTTCAAAACTTCAAAGAATTCAGAGATAAAGGTTTTTATCATCTGATGAGTGATAAAATTTAATTTAAACTTTCCGTTACACTATTGGCTCAGTTTTTGTAATTTTTTTGTTTGTTTCAATAAAAGCTCATAATTTCCAATGAGATGTAAACATGTCACTCACACTTAGTTTCATTAAATCTAGAAATATAGAAATTTCGCTACTTTTCCTTTTTAATATTTCCATTGTTTTAGGAATCCCTAAAATCAATTTATCTTGGTTACTGTAAGAGATATCAAAAGCCTGTAAACCAACAAATTGTTATTGATATTATGACAAACGTTTTATCAGTGACAGTATTTTGAAACATTTTAAATGATCCGAGATAATTGAGCTCAAACATACGTTAATCGATTTTTATGAGTTATTAATTGAACAAACCACTGTTTCGAAACGGTATCAAAATATTGGAAAATTTAAGAAAAAAGTGTTGTTCACTCAATCTTAAAATTCTTAATTTCTTAATTTTTTCCAGAAACACAGACCGTCTAATCTGGAAAGATCAATTTTGAAAGCTGGAAGCTTTTAACAATGTTTCTTATTTGGCTGATATCAACGTAATATCGAAAATATGTTATTTGTTGATCACTTTTTGATATTTCTCATAAGAAATGAAGACGAAAAGTTGATCGTCGAAAGACCGATCGATTCAGGATAATGTTTCTAATTTCGCATAATCCCAGTTAGAAACTTGAAGCTTTATTCTCGCGTATTTAAGAATAGCTAGTTTATTAACTTTGAGTCAATTTATTTAGGTTCCTGTGAAAGATATCAGAAACTACGTAATTGATAAAATTTAGGTGATATTACGATATACATTTCATCAGTGGACCACTTTTTGATATCTTTCGTAAGAAACGAGATGAATTGGCTCAAAGTTAACAGTTTGGGGGCATTCTTTAGAATTAGGTACGGTAACTTCAAGTAGGTAATCTTAATCCTTCCACCTATTATAATATGTTAAATCTCACTATTCAATATACACGAAAGCCATACCTGCAATATAAGTGAAAGTAGGATAAACACAAAAAACGGAGCCAACAATGAGCAATGGTCCAGTGATAAGACAGCTACACGCAGTAGCTGTCATATCAGTAAATGCCAATAAAACCATTATTTTGTAACAAGACATTTTGATGAGTTTCGATTTGAATATGATGATGTAGAGGATCGGGAGGTAGAGAATCTGAAAGTATTTTTTGTGTTTCGGGAGGTTGAGAAGTCTGGACCAGTATTTTTTTGAGTACTGGTCGATCAGGTCTACTTTTTTGTGCATTATACGGTGTACGGTATACGCGTTATGTTAAGATCTTGCGGCAACTCGGTCATCTGCACACTTAACACTATCTAATTTTCATTCAACTATATCATATTAGTTGTCCTGAATGCCGAATGACACTATCCAAAAACTTTGTGTTTCACAACATTTTGAAACATTTAAAAAATTTCAAAATTTTCAATGAGACGTCCCATTGGCAAACAAATATCCAGCTTCCTCTCACCTCAATAAATACGCCAAATACCGTAATCGGATAACCAAGCCATGGACGTTTGACTCCCGTCGCCAACCACTCGTTTTGAGATTTTGAACTACAATTGTAGTACGGTATCTCGTCAACACTACCGTACTCAATTAGGCGGTTCATGGTTCTGGAAAAATTGAGATATTGAACATTTCAAGATTAATGGATGAGATACAGAACAGTGGTACCCGTATGCTTTAGCTCATTTATCTCGGTTCTTGCAAGAAATATCAGAAGTTTGTAAACTGATAAAATGCTTATCATAGTACCACCAACATTTTGTTAGTTGACCACTTTTTGATATCTCTAACAAGAAACAAGATAAATAAGGTCAACTGGAAGGTAAAGGTTCTATAAGAGGGAAAAACGACATTTTTTATCAAATACGCTGGATTCAAATGATCGAGAAGAAAAACCCAAAAAACCTATAGCTTTCAAACTAACTAGGCTCTAAGCTTAAGTAAGACTTAAGTCACGTACTAGGACTCAAATCCCTTATATACAATTTTGTGACAAAAGACTCTGATGACGTTATCAATCTTTTTTGTTATAAATAAGGTATTAAGATTAGTTTTAGGTACATATGACTAGGAAGTACTAAGTTTGGAAGAAAAAATAAGCTTTAGTGAGACTAAAAGAGTTCATGAGATTAGGGAGATTAGGTTCTAGTCTCAAAGGATCTCTGTTTGGAGCTTTTCTAGACACAAAATATGAAAATACGGCAGATGCTGTTTTAATTTGAAAAAGATACTTATCGAAAAATTGTCGAATTTGACACCCTACAAAGATTGTTCAAAATTTTCACATTTGTCTGAAAATTTCAGAGTAGACCAAACAAAAGTTGAGCTTTAATTTTGTAATTGTCAACTTTTTTGTACAAAACCAACAAATACGGTTTCAAATCGGTTTTAAAATGGAATAAGTTTTATTTCCTATCTTCGTTTAGTATGCTCTGCAATTTTCAAAAAAATCGAGAAATTCTGGACCACTTTTGTAGGGCTCCAGAGTCGAAAATCAGTTATTTATACATTTCTGAAGATCTTTGGTCCTATTTCCAATCAGAATTTCAATTCATCGGCGTATTTAAGAATATCTGATCTGTGATGATGATGAAAAGTTTTCTATGAGTAGGCACTGATAAAACTAGACTATATTATGTGTAAATCATACTCTGGCTCCTGGAAATGGAGAATATGTTACACAAAAAAATGGAAAGAATGAATCCAAATTGATTGGACCGCAGGCTGGCCAACGAAAATGACGCAATGGAAACCTTAAAAACTGGAAGTTAAAGAAAAACATGTTCAGTTTCAGTAAGTTACGATGAATCCTGATTCAAACTGATGAAACGTTGTATCAGACAAGATTCCTTCAAAAATGAACATTAGAAATGCGGATGAAGAGCGTTTTTTAAAGACAATATAGACACCCTAGTTGATACCTCAATCATGTGATTAATGCATTTGGGAAAATTGTAAAGTTATTCGAAAGTCAAAAGTAGGAATTGTTTCGATTATGGGGGAAGCTCATTATGAGGAAAACTCGGCACTTTTCACTTTTCATGTTTCACCAAATTATGATATTTTCTAAAATTTCGTCCCTCATATTCTTCATTCCATATTGATACGATCGATAAAAATAATTCTGTTTACGGTATTTTTAAGATTTTTGAGTCCTTCAATTCATTCTCGAATTGTTTCCATTCCGCAATCTCAACTCCCACTTAATTTACAGAATTATTGATTCTTTTTGCTGTTCAAAATGGATCATCTAAAAAAGCTTCTGAAAAACAGAGTGATCAAAAGCTTCAAATAGCATTTTTGAAATTCTGTCCCCTAACTTTTTTCAGTGTATCACTAGACCAAACAAACCGGAAGCATAGTTATATGAGATTTAAAGTTTGAATTGATTATTTGGATTTTTCCGTTTCACAACTTTCCAATGAAGAAAGTGCAGATTTTCGTTTCAGTCAATTTTTTCAACGGGCGCGGAAAACATGAAATATTCAAAAAGAAACTACTTTGGACCCTGAAGAAAAACAGTCCCTGAACAAAGTAAAAAACTTCTTCATAAGATTACAGCAACTGTAACCGGAGGCCAAGAGATTCCACCCCGGAGGGGCGTCCACCTACTGGTATTTGAAAAAAAAATGAATCGAGTTCTGAAAAAGTATACTGTGCTTTTTTTCCAGTTCATGCTTTTTTAGAAGGCATGTATTAATCAATATTTTCCGTTACATTTGTTCCTGAACATTTGAAGAAACTCGGACTTTCCAATTCGCGAAAGTTTTCCACAATTCATTTATTTTATCGAAATTTTCGATGTCCACCAAAAAAAAAGCAAACTTCCGTAAAAAAAGAAAACGTTTTTTTTTCAATTTTCTATGTTTTTCCTTTTTTTGACAATCCTCAAATTTTTCACTATGACAAGCCAGTTTTCATGGATTGGAATGATGTAAGCTTTTTCAATTATCCAGAAAGTTTATGAAATCGTAGTTCTAAATACTTTTACGAGGATTTTCATTCTCAGAATTCTCAAATACAACACTAGAACTATATATTTTCTAGTATATTTACAACACTTCTGGAAGAGAAAATCCTAATTTTCAATTTTTTTTTCGACTTCAGATCTTTTCAATTTGTTTCAGAGTCTCTTCAATTACTTTGATAAAGAATCCCAATAATATTCTTTTTTCAGTTTCAAAAGTTCCTTAACATTTGAGAGAACTGGGATTATCATTTCAGCTGACTTTTTTCCTTTCAATCAGTTCATCCATTTTGTTGGTCTTTCGAACTCGTTACCAAAAAAGATAACTTCAAAATTTCCCAAACATTTGAAAGAAATTCATCATTCTAAGAATTAAATTCGATCCATGCTTATTTACTTCACTTCAAATCATTACCAAAAATCATGACTATTTCAGAAAATTTAAAAGAGTTCTGAAACAGAAACAATTACTATGAAAATGCAAACTTTTCAATTTTGTCAACCAAAAAAGTTTTCTCAAAATCTCATGTTTTTCATTATTGCATTTTTTTAATTGAATTGGGGTAATTAGGATAGGCCGCGGCCGGCCGTGATTGAGGTCATTGAATATCACCGTGAACCAATCAATCCGTTCTTTCAAACATAAGCTCAGCCAGCCAAAAAATATCAGGGCCGCCATCAGGGCAGCAAATTCTACTTATTTCAGATGTACTTGAACTAAGAATGCCTCGGCCCTAATTCGATTTCAGCACCAAATCTTCACTTTATTTCGGATAACCAATACATTTCCTAATAATCAAAAAGGTAACTACAGTAAGTATACAACATTTCTGGAACAGAAAACACAATTTTCAAATTTTCTTCAGTTTCAGAACTTTTCAATCAGTTCCAGAATCTCTTCAACTACATTCTACAGGAAGAACTGAAACTGAAAAATTTTTAAACAATTTTTTTCTTTTTTTTTGTTGCATTACAGACTATCTTCGATGAAATTTATGCCTATATTATTGAGGAATTTAAAACGAAGATGTTTGATCGTAATATTATATTCAATCCTCTAGACTTTGAACCAGATTTATGAAACACAAAATTTTGAAAAAAAAAGTTTCAAACGGATCAATGAATAATAGGAAACACACAAGTACAATCTTATATCTAATAATAAAGAGTCCGAGGCAGTCTTAAGTTCAAATTTAAAGGCAAACAAGTAGAAGATGATATCAGGAATAAGAAGAAAATAGAAGTATATCCCCATATCCAACAATAACCAAAAAATAAGCACCATAATTTTGAATTAGATCATAAAAATGATACTGCGATTCCAGAAAAACAAATTGGGAGTACAAAAAAAACAAGTTCAACTTCAGCTCAATGTATCTCGGTTCCTTTAAAAGATACAAAAAAATTGTCAACTGATAAAATGTTGGTCTTAACATCAGCTACATTTTTGTAGTTTACAGATTTTTGGTATCTTTTACAGTAAGCCAGATAAAATGAGTTAAAGTTGAGGGACCAAAAAATTTGGAAAAAGGGATTATCAGAGAAAAGGAGGCGGGGCTTAATTGAACTGGTAAGCAACAAGAAGAGATCTAAAAATTGGAAAAACGATCAAAAAGAAAATAATTCTCAACAAAATGAATTGATAAAAATATTATGAGATTGAAACAGAAAAGTTTAAAAATTGGAAACAATAAACAAGTCATCAATTAGGCGCCTCCTGATTCACAGCCACTGGACAAATGCTCTGATGATGGAGATAATTCGGATCGCCGTCATAACAGTACCGACATCGATAAAACTGTCCCATTTCCTCGCATCCTCTTCCAATGTGAAACCTGAAGCATCGCAGGCAACGTTCCCTTAACAATAAATAGTCCTTGCGCTCGTTGATATCCGGTACAAACGGGCATTTATCATGTGGATGAGTGTATCTTCCACAGTACAAACAACTGTTTCGAAGCTGTTCTTGAGCATCTTTGGAGGCTAGATGACGGATTGGTGGGCGGTCTGGCTGGCCTGGCCGATCATGCTGGTCCGGCCGGTCATGCCGATCTAGCTGGCCTGGCTGAATAGACGCCTCCTGATTCACGGCTACTGGACAAATGCTCGAATGATGAAGATAATCCGGATCGCTGTCACGACAGTACCAGCATGCATGATTCCTTCCCATTTCTTCGCATTCTCTTCCTGTTGCACGATGAGGTCTGAAGCATCTCAAACAGCGTCCCCTCGACAATAAATAGTCTCTACGTTCGTTGATATCCGGCACAAACGGGCATTTATCATGTTGATGAGTGTTTTTTCCACAGTATATGCAATCGTGTCGGAAGTGGTCTTGAGCGTCCTTGGAGGCTAGGTGACGGATTAGAGAACTGTCTGGCAGGCGGTTTTGTCGGTCTGACTCGTCTGGTAGATCTTGCCGGTCTAGCTGGCCTGGCTGAATAGACGTCTCCTGGTTCACAGCCACCGGACAAATACTCGAATGATGGAGATCATTCGGATCGCTGTCACGACAGTACCAGCATGCATGATTCCTTCCCATTTCTTCGCATTCTCTTCCAGTGTGGCGATGAGGTCTGAAGCATCTCAAACAGTGTCCCCTCGACAATAACCAGTTTCGGCGCTCTTTGATATCC